CTATTTTAACCTAAAGCTCCTATCAGTTCCCCAAGACTCACTTAGAGATACTCTACCCTTTTATTTGTTCGCCTTTTCTATGTGGCCACATTGAACTGAACAAATCTCTTCTTATTGCTTACTTGTTATTGCTTATTGCTTGTTACTTGTCTGTGCATATGTTCATACATGTTCATATATATATATATATATATATATATATATATATATATGTATGTATATGTGAGTGTGCAAACATAGTCACCTGTGTGTGTGTGTGTGTGTGTGTATACAGAGTCCTGAACAAGGCATAGGATGCTTGTCTTATTGCTTTGCAACAGGGCCTCTCACTGAGTTAGAAACTCACTGTTCAGGCAAGTCTGGTGGGCCAGTGAGCTTGTGGGATCTTCCTGTCTCTGTTCATCTAATACTAGGATTACAAGCTATGCAGTCTTTTTATGTGAATGACTGAGCAGACAGATAAGATGCCTCTCAAGAGGTGATTACATCTGCTCCGGGATAAGGCTTGGGCCTCCTGGGTTTTTGCCTTCATAATGGGGAGGCATCTGTCCAGAGTTCTTCTATTCTGGCCATCCAAAGTGACTCAAGAGGAAAAGTTAAGGACAATGATTTATCTGGTCAAGATGGGGTCCTCATGCTTGCACAGGAAGCACTATTTTGCACTGAGCCATCTCCCCAACCCTTGTTTGTTTCTTTAATTAATGTATAAGGACAGGTGTCTGAGAAGAACTTGTTGCAGCTGCTAGTGATCTGGCTTTTACCTTAAAAGCTCAGGTTACAAACATACACAACTCTCATAAAATTTTCTAGTATAGCCAAAAAGCCAACTCTTGCTGTTATAGTTATGAGAGTGTGCATCTATCTTGGCAGATCTTGGGGTAAAGAGATCATGGTGTGGGCTGAGGAGATGCTACCTCCAGTAAAGTACTTGCAGTATAAGAGTATGGACCTGACTTAAGCCCCGTAAGTAATGTGAAAAGGGTTGAACATGGGGATAGCACTGAATTGCAGAAATAGGCAGATCCCAGGGGCTCGTCAGCTAGTGAGCCTAATCTAATCATTGCATTCTAGGCCAATAGGAGTTCCTGTCTCAAAAACAGAGTGGAGAGGCACCCAAGGTTGACCTCCAGCTTCCACATACACCTGCACATAGATACATGTGCAACCTCCCATATCAATGTGAACTCGCGTGTGGGAAGAGACTTGTTTAGAAGAGCAAGTGTAGGTAAGCTAATGCCTTGGAGGAGGATGGAGAGGAAACAATGAAAGGAAAGGCCTAGGGTAATTCAAGGCTTGCTATTGTGAATTCAGGACACATTTGTTTGTTTAAACTCAGCCTCATTCTGAAAATAATTTGAGGAAGTCCTTACACATAGCACAGCAAGACAAAAAAAATAGAATTAAATCAGAAAACTGGGACAAAGAGAAAATAAGCTGGAATAACAAGATGAAAATAAAATAATTGAAGGTCGTCAAGCAGAAAAGCAAGCTGTGAAGTTCAGCTCGATTATTCCAGTTGGGCCACAAACTTATTTCCTAGAAGAATGCTCTCACATTTTCTTTTCTTTATTTTTCCAGGTGGAGGCACACAAGCCAGTTCCATGATTAACATTTGAGCTCATTCCCATGCAGTGAGAAAGGAGGGAGGAAATCTTTTTTTTTAATATTTATTTATTTATTTATTATGTATACAATATTCTGTGGCAAAACATTATTGTCGCTAAGGCAAAACATTGTTGCTAACTAAGGTGAAACATTGTTGCTAACTAAGGCAAGCATTGTTGCTAGCTAAGGCGAAACATTGTTGCCAGCTAAGGTGAAACATTGTTGCTAAGGCAAGCATTGTTGCTAGCTAAGGCGAAACATTGTTGCCAGCTAAGGCGAAATATTGTTGCTAACTAAGGTGAAACATTGTTGCTAACTAAGGTGAAACATTGTTGCTAGCTAAGGCGAAACATTGTTGCTAACTAAGGTGAAACATTGTCGCTAGCTAAGGCGAAACATTGTTGCTAACTAAGGTGAAACATTGTTGCAAACTAAGGTGAAACATTGATGCTAACTAAGGTGAAACATTGTTGCTATCTAAGGTGAAACATTATTGCGCTCAACTTTTCCTTTTTAACCTTAGGTAGGAAAATGTTTGTGAAAATAAAACAAGTTTGATACACTGTTTATTCATTTGCTTCATCAATTATGTGTTGGATTTCAGTTTTCAGCTGACACTAGTTTCCTTTCTCTGTTGAACAATGCAAGCAAGGCAAGGAGAAGAAACAAAGATCTTCATCTCCTGGAGCAGGAGGTTCACCTTCCTGGGAACACACCTTCATGGTCATGGGATCCCAGGAGCCTATTCTCAGCTCCTCCATGATATAACTCCCATGTAAAGAAAATTCACAATCCTTCCCAAACCAGAGCATCAGACTATCATCACAAATCTCCACAGGTGCTCTCAGTGGTCACCAGCTTTAATAATTTTTTTTCATGAATAACATTCTATCCCAACCTGCTTCTAGACTGGCACTGAGACTCCTTCATAGGATGTGGTGGAAGCTGTGTGGCTTTCTAGAATAGGCATTCAAATATCTTCAGCTGCCCTCTTTCAGAAAGTCCCTTGGGAACTTCTCTACCATGCTGCAGGAAACCCATACCACATGAAGACGTTACACAGAAGACTAAGGTCTTTCAGTCATCAGCTCTAGCAGAGAATCCCATTGAGAGCCTCTACCCATTGCTAAGTATGCAAGTGATACCTTATAAACCATGGCCCAGCTAAGCCATTCCATGACTACAGTCAACGACTGGCATCCCATGGTGAAGAACCATCTACTTGAATTTATTGAAACCATAGAATCATGACAGATAATGAACGACAGTTGATTTTAAGCCTCTGCTTGGAGGAGTGTTACACAAAAAAAAAAGGTGTTTGTTGTGTTCTTTCTCTTGGAATGACCATACAAAGTGGTCCTGTTGGCCCTCTTAAAGAGTATGATGTCCGTAGAAAAGGTTGGCTGTAAAAGGGGCCAAACTTTCCAATGTTCTGCCTTCTATGCATAGGTAAGGTAAATAGATGCTTTTTACCCTTGACAGTAGGGCATCAAGTTAATCCAGCTTGGCAGAGAGTCTCACATAGTGTGTCTCACTCAGAGACTGCTTCGAGTCTTCTCACTAAAAGAAATTAAATATGAACAAGGAGCTCAAATAGAGACTGCCAATGTCTTGTCTTTATGCCTCAGGGCATACAAGGGAACTTGAAATGCCAATGTATTGATAACTGGCTTTTTCTAGTCCTTTGGAATGCTTTCTTTCCCAGTGCTTACTGGGATTTGAAGTATAAATTTCCCAGCATTTTAGTTATACTTTTCAATGACTTTGACAAAAATGCAAGGACCAAGGCAACTTATAGAAGAAAGAGTTTGTTGGGGCTTACAGTTTCAGAGAGAAAGTCCACGACCACCATAGCAATGAGCATGACAGAAGGCAGGAAAACACGGCACAAACAGCAGTTGAGAGGTTGCATTTTGATATGCAAGTAGGAGAAAGGAAGAGCTAACTGGAAATGGTGTGGGTTTTTGAAACATCACAGTCCATTCTCTGGTGACATAGCTCTTCCGGTCCTAATCCTTCCTAATCCTTCTCAAGAGCTTCCACCACCCGAAGCCCAAGCATTCAAATACATGAGTCTATAGGGGTCATTTCCATACAATCTACCACATCCAGTTACTCTGCTTAAGATGAAGTAATGCTAAGATACAAGACTTTAATTATTCCCCAGATTTTAGCAGTGAGATGAAGTTCTAGGGCATAAAATAAAATTTAAGGGCTGTTTTTCCTTTGGAGAAACCCAAATTAAGTCCCTTAAATATGCAAGGTACCTTAAGGCACTGCCTAGAACTTTTCCATCTTAGCACATATTAATTTAATTTTAAGTAAGCTAATAGGTACTCATCTAAAAATAAAATCCTCCATAAACTCACTAAACTGGCATTCGATTTCCTTATTTGTTTAAGAGCTATCCCAGTGTCCATAATGCAGTTTTTCTCTAGGCTTATTCCAATATCAGAAAGTCTGTGATGGACCCAAAAAGAGGAACATGGGATGTACTCACTGATATTTGGTTTCTAGCCATAAATAAAGGGCATTGAGCCTATAATTTGTGATCTTAGAGAAACTAAATAAGAAGGAGAACCCAAAGAAAAACATATAGGCATCCTCCTGAATATTAACCTTCATCGGGCAATGAAAGGAGACAGAGACAGAGACCCACATTGGAGCACCGGACTGAAATCTCAAGGTCCAAATCAGGAGCAGAAGGAGAGAGAGCACAAGCAAGGAACTCAGGACCATGAGGGGTGCACCCACACACTGAGACAATGGGGATGTTCTATCGGGAACTCACCAAGGCCAGCTGGCCTGGGTCTGAAAAAAGCCTGGGATAAAACTGGTCTCGCTGAACATAGCGGACAAGGAGGACTACTGAGACCTCAAGAACAATGGCATTGGGTTTTTGATCCTACTGCACGTATTGGCTTTGTGAGAGCCTAGGCAGTTTGGATGCTCACCTTACTAGGCCTGGATGGAGGTGGGTGGTCCTTGGACTTCCCACAGGGCAGGGAACCCTGATTGCTCTTTGGGCTGACAAGGGAGGGGGACTTGATTGGGGGAGGGGGAGGGAAATGGGAGGCAGTGGTGGGGAAGAGACAGAAATCTTTAATAAATAAATTAATTAATTAAAAAAAAGAAAGTCTGTGATGCAGTTGATAAAGTATTCCAACCTCAGAAGAGGAATCCATAAAACCTACATAGTGGTTCATGGTTGCTTTACCTAATATCTGGAATTCATGACTAGTGCAAAAAAAGAGGTATATCCGAGAGCAGGTCACAATTCTGTTCTGCTCCAATGAAGACTTCACAGTAGATGGCGTCACAATGGTGGAGCATGTGTGCAAGAGTCAACATAGTGAGGTGAGAAACATGGGAGGGGCCGGTCTTGCTCCTGCTATAACAACCTACTGTCTTATGGTACCTGAGTTAGGTTCTAATAAGAAATATCTTCATCCCTCCCAAGGATGGTATTACTAATGACCACAACAGACCTGAGCATCATTGCACTAGAGACTGAGCTCCCAGGTTAGGAAGCTTCACGGGACATGCTTAAACCCCATCCAGACTGCAGTGGCCCTCAACTTGTCTCCAGAGTGTGGTGTATCGGAAAGAGGTGTGTATTTGTGGGGCACTCACTGGGTGGCAAGCATGCAGTGATGTTTGTATAACTCTCTTAATCTTCATGGCAGTTTTTTCCAAGATCTCATTATCATCGTCTCCATTCCACTGATGAAGATGACGCTCAGGGAGCTGAAGTATCTTGTGCCATGGTTACCCTACCTGTAAGTAGTAGAACTGGGATGTGGGCCCTGGCTGGGAACTGCAGAGCCCACCTTGTTAAATACAGCACTGTGCTACTTTTGATCAAAAACACCTAGAATATTAAGGGAAATAAAGTGACACTGAGCTTTAAAAGTACTTCAGCTTAGCATACATTCAAAATACTAACATTTAAGAGAAAAAAATGGAAACCCTACTGTTTGAGGAAGTAGACCCATAGCTAGATAGAAGGCTATGTGTTTTCTGAAAATAATATGAGGACTTAATTGGCACAGGGCATTGATCAAGGGTGGGAGAGACAGAGCAATGCGCAGTCACTCATCACCCAGATGATGAGGTATTTTCTCATGGTAGAAAATACCAAACAATGAGCTAGGGACTACAGCAAGCTTAGTTTTTGTTTAAGGCACGAAAGTAGTTGAGACAAGGCCTCACACAGCCAGCGCTGGCCTTGGAAGCCCCAATCTTGTTGCCTCAACCTCTCCAGATGCTGTTATTCCCAAAGAGCAGCACCATGCCCAGTCTGATTTCTTGGTCACTAAGAGCCTCAGTGCTGACGGCATTTGCCGCTTGTCCTGGGGTTGCGCAGAGAGTATTGCACTGGATTATGAGTCAGCTAGAAATCATTTAAGACCCTCCCACCCCCAAGATTCAACAAGACCAGTCAGTTGGTGCTCATTACTCCGGTGTGGGAAACACTGTTAACGCTCTGTGAGAGTGAGATGTCACCACACGTGCCAGTGTGACTCTTGTCTTGCTGCACACCCCGCAGCCCAACCCTGTAGGGTAGTGAAAGACACAAGAAAATAAAAGGTGGCTGGCAGGGTGTGCAGAATGGGGGTGGTCAGGCACAGTGGCCACCACAATGACATCTGGATGCTCTCTTCTATGTGCTGACCACATACTGACACATGTGTGTGAAGCCTTTGCACCCAAGATTCTTGTTCTGCATGGAAATCCCATCAGGAAGGTTTCTTATCCCCGTGACGCGAGGACCTTGAGAAAGAGAAAGGCACCCCCCCCCCCAGTCACACAGCCACCTGAGTTAACTGTTTCTCCCCCAGGAGGGCTTTCTCCCCAAGGTGGTCAGGCAGCCCCAGTCCATGCCATCGCCCACTGCAGCACAGGACATATTCTCTAAGTTTTGCTGAGATTACCACGTGTGGCATAATTAGAAAGAAAGGGCCTTTTGTGGGAAGAGAAGGCTGCCTTTTTATGCCTTTGATTGTCAGCTCCTGCGACAGACACACAATTAATGAACACACTGAAAGCGTGGCTCCTCAAATTATCTTTTTCCTGAATCCTAGAGAAATTGCGATTGTTCTGTAATAACTGCCGCTGTGGCATAAATTACCTTTAGCAAACATCAGATGTGCTTAATCCTCTCACCCAGGGTAACGGCTGCCACTGTAACAACCAGACAACGCAGGGCTTCCAGTTACAGCAGTGACCTCCACAATCAGACCTTTGGATGCCAAGTTCAACCTTGCCAGAGAAATACAGAGATTCAACTAATAAATATTAGCTAAATGGATGTTTTGTAGAAAGCTTAATTGTTTGGGTTTTATTTTCTGTTTTTTTTTTAAGGTTTTGTTTGTTTTGCTTTGATTTGTTTTGATTAGTTTTGGCAGAGAGGTCTTTGCTTTATAAATGACTTTGTTTAATGCTCTTCAAATTGCAGCCTTGAAAATGACTCCAGCACGGGAAGTGGGAACGCCGATTCTGCTTGCTAACCTTGAGCAAGACACTCAGCTCCTCAAACTTCTTTTTGTCAGTACTAGATATCAGACCCAGGGTCTTGTGCATGCTAAGCAATTACTCCACCACGCAGCAGTATCCCTATCCTTGGAGGTCATTATTTTACAAGAGGGAAGGGGTAGGAAGAGAGGAGACAGAGGAAGAGAAAGGAGAAAGAGAAGGAGCAAAATAGGAAGCAGAAGGCGGTGAGTGGGAATGTCAGGGGCTGGTATTCATCTGGCCACCTGGCTCCAGACTCTGCAGCTCTCCAGTAGCGTCTAAGTTGTAGCTTTCCACATCTGAGCAGAGCACATGGTTTTCGCTACCACATATGTCCCTGTACACTTGGGCATGCAAATGAGCCATTTGCCACTGTAGTCACTCACTTCTAACTCTTCCCATGTTGTCTAGAGCAGCTCTGCAATAAGTGGTCCCCAAACGTGCATCCAGAAAGAGCTGTGTGCATGCCTCGCCATCAGGAGGAATGAACTAGGTGGCACTGGCATCAGGCTTGGTCAATGGGTGCTAACTTGGGGCAAGTCAGTTTACTTGAATTCTCCCCCACCCTTGGTCTTCAGACTCATGCATCTTCCTGTTTTTGAAGCATGCTTTACTTCAAGAGTGTTCTACCTGTTGGGGACCAGCCTCAATAAAAATACCTTTTGCCAGGGTAGAGGCATGGGGATTTAGAAAATATTAGTAAAGAATATGAAGATGCAAAAGAAAATAATAAAACAGAGAAACAGGATAGTATTAGGAGGGTGTTCCAGTGAGTACTAAAATTCACCCACATTTAATTTCCAACTGCTTAAAATACCCCTGGCCACAAAAGGTAGGAGTAAGAAAAAAAACTACATTAACTTGATATAAGGAAATGAACCTACCAATTGAAAGTTATGGGCTATGTCCTAGTTAAACTTTCTGTTGCTAGAACAAGTTATGCTCACACCCTAGACCAAAACATCCTGTAGGCAAATTACTCCCTGGGTGGAATCCAAAGTTATCTCCCAAAGGGAACTGGAGCTTAGTTGGAACTTTTGCTTGTGAAGTAGATAGGAATGTATCTACTCTTTATTCCTGGAGTACAAGGTCTGGCTATTAGTCACTCACACCTGTTGACTATAACCTTGAGAGAGCAGAACTCTCTGACCTAATTCTAGGTGGGACCAGTGTTAGAGGTTGAAACCTTGAAGGAACTAGAGGTAAGTTCCAACTCTCTGACCTTTGGTCAATGTGGAAATAGGCTCATCTTTGGGCCTCCACACTACCTCCCTTCTTCTGTCTTTCAGGCTCTTGGATGTGCCACAAAACAAGAGAAAAATAGGCTCAGTGCTTTCACACCGTAAATATCAGAGACCAGCTATGCACATCACCTGACCAGGAGCTACCTGCTGGTTAGGTGAATGGAAGGAGGTGCCGGTATTCTAGAGAGAAACAGCTTCCAGCAAATGGATTGGAAACAAGGTGAGTGGGGTGTGGGAACATGCAAGTCCAGCACCATTAAGACATTTTAGAAAAGACCAGGCAGGAAACGAGACTGCAGAGTTGGGTGAAGCCTGAGGCCACTGGGCAAGGAAAGTGAAATGAAGGCCTACCTTAGACCTTAGGAGAGGGAAATGTGCTCCTCATTCCTTTTTCAGTGCATGGCAGTTAGTACTGCCGATGTCCAGTTATTCCTAACTCATTGAGAGAACCTAAAAGCCAAAGAACAGTCCAACAAGGGTTACTCTGGGCCTCATACTCCGCCAGGTGTTCCCCTCTCATGTCTCACTTTACATTCAAAAGAAACCTCAGAGGAGGCATTGTACTGACCCCTATTCTACAGGTGAAGAAACGAATGCTTGTTTGAATCTGTGACCCACGTGGGATTGTTGAGTAGAAATTGACTGAAGCATGATTGTGATCCAGGGATCTGGTTTAAGGGATCCCCAGTTCTAAACTCTGGGGCCCACTATGCCCCAGGTTCCCTGATAAACATCTCCCAAGGCAAACCATGCTCACCCAGTACTGAAGCCCCTACTCTCCCAGCAGATGTGGCCGGGGTCCCTGCTGCAGCTCTTAGCTTGTCCTTGTGTAGGAAGCAACTCTAAGCTAAGGCTTCAGCTCTGGGAAATCAGATTCATCTTGGGTCTCAAAGCCCCAGCCTGTTCTGTTGTCTGGCCATCATCAGAGTTCAGCCCGGTGCAGCTGAGAGAGGCACAAAGCCTGATGAAGTACCTAACGCATCAGAAGAACTGTGCTGCCTTCTTCTCCCCCTTCCTTTTATCCACCCAGAGGAAATATTGTTAGCTGAAATGGGCACCAGGAGAACTGAGACGGCCATTAGACAGGTCTCCCGGCTTCCCTGGGACAGTAACATAAATTGTGACAAGTCTGTACATCCAACTATCTTGCCCAACTATTCCCACCAGACTGTCTTCTCACTCTGAAAGACTGCCAACAGGCAGAGCAGGACAAAGACACACCTCTATAAGTCAGTGCAAACAGCTCCTGCCTTTCTCTTAAGTTCTCTTCTGACACTTGGCTCATCTCTGTTTGAGTACCTTCCCCTGTGTTTTCCAGAAGTGAGCAAGCATAGCTCTGTGAAGCTCTAACCAGTTCAAAGTAAAGTAAGAAAAAAAAAAAAAAACATGTCTGAGCATCTTTTCCTCCTTCTGCCATTTGAGTATACCTTACTTTTCCGATACTTATCCTCCAGCACACTTATAGATGTATGTGTGGGTTTGTTTATTTAACAGATATCTCCCTAGAAGATGGGACTCTCTTTGAGAGTAGGACCACAGTATTGTTGAAATAGGTGCGGCAGGGCTGCGTCCCTGGCACCCGGCCGCCAGCATGGCTAGCTTATGCCCGAAATAATTACACGGAAACTGTATTCTTTCAAACACTGCCTGGCCCGGCTAGTTCCAGCTTCTTATTGGCTAGCTCTTACATATTGTTCTAACCCATTTCTAATATTCTGTGTAGCCCACGAGCTGGCTTACCAGGGAGGATCTTAACCTGCGTCTGTCTGGCGCGGGAAAATCATGGCGACTCTTTCACTAAGCTTCTTTTTCCCAGCATCCTGTTCTGTCTACTCCGCCTACCTAATTTTCTGTCCTATGAGGGCCGAGGCAGTTTCTTTATTAGTAAGAAATCACTCCCACATCACAGTATTCTATCCACTTCTGTGAGTCCAAAACATGTCATGGCTTTGTGTGCCTGTGACAGGTCCCACCATTAAGATCAGCAGGCTGTAGCAGAGTTTCCAACTGACCACCAAGTGTGGTCTCTGACGTTGAACAAATATGCTGTCAACTCTTCTGGAATGAATTGGTTAATACTAAGTGTTTCATAAAGATAAGCTTAGTCAGCACAAAGAACTTCTTTCCAAAAGTATGCCTGCCGTACTGCCTCATCCCCAAAACAGACTCTAAAAACAAGAGGAGTGATAATAGGGTGGGCGTCAATGATGTTGATACCCAAGTTACTGGAAACATGGAGACGCCATAACATCCAGCATTCTAGAAACCTCTGTACAGCAGCATCTGCCAGGCCGTTATTATTAAGATGTACTTCATATACCACAAAGTCATCCTTTTATTTCTTATTTCTCTCTCTCTCTCTCTCTCTCTCTCTCTCTCTCTCTCTCTCTCTCTCTCTCTGTGGTGTATTGTGTGCACATGTATATGTGTGGGTGCGTGTATCTATATGCATGTTCAGAGGCCACAGGAGAATGTTGGTTTTTCATCTTTTGTTCATCTTTTTAGCTCTTCACTACATGTCTCTGAGACATGGCCCCTCACTGAATCTGGAGCTCAAGACCTTTGAGGTACCCAGGCATTCAGCAAGTCCCAGGTATCTGCTTGTCTCTACCCACCCTATCCTACTGAGCCCTGGGGTTGCAGACTTACATGGCCAAGCATGGCTTTTTACATGAGTTTTGGGGTTCTGGACTCAGGTCCTCATGATTATGCATCAAGTGTACTTATATCTTGACAACTCAAATTTGTCCTTTTAAAGCCTAGAGTGCATAAGTTTTTAATATATGAATGACCACTGCTCTTTAATTCTAGGAAAATTCTTATTTCTCCCTTAATTATTACTGATTCCTAGGAGTAGTGAGCTCAGTATTTCTCTCCCATAATCCTCTGATTGTCACTAATCTACTAATCACTAATTCTGGACATTTTATATAAATGAAACCATAGATCATAAGACATTTTATGTCTATGTTCGGTGAATCAGCATGTTTCCAGTTTCTTTGACATCAAACCAGAATTGCATTCCTGTCTATAGCTGTATAATATTCTACCATATGCATATACAAAAAATATTTATCCATTTTTCAGTTAAACCACAGGTGAATATCATGAATAGTCATGAATTTGATTATTATCAAGACTATTTCTAGCTGAGTGGTGGTGGTGGCACACATCTTTAATCCCAACACTTGGGAGGAAGAAGAAGGTAGATCTCTGTAGTTTGAGGCTATCCTGGTCTACAGGGTGAGTTCCAGGTCGGCCAAGACTGTTACACAGAGAAAACCTGTCTTGAGAAACAAACAAAAAACAAAAAACAAAAAAAAAAGAAGAAGAAAAGAAAGAAAAATATTCCTACTATGAACATTCATGCTTAAATTCTGTTAAAAATTGTTTAGGATATATATGTAAGAGTAGAAACACTATCCCATGCTGTTTCAGTCACAGTCCAGCTGGCTTTGGTGAGTTCCCAATAGATCAGCCCCACTGTCTCAGTGGGTGGGTGCACCCCCCGTGGTCCTGACAACCTTGCTCGTGTTCTCCCTCCATCTGCTCCTCATTGGGACCTTGGGAGCTCAGTCCAGTGCTCCAGTGTGGGTCTCTGTCTCTATCTCCATCCATCACCAGATGAAGGTTCTATGGTGATATGAAAGATATTCGTCAGTA